CTGCAAGAACAAAAGCGTGCCTTCCTTGTATGTGAGGGTTGTTCTAAAGGTCCTTGTCTTCGGTTTATACTTGGGCGACCATTTCAGCTAGTTTAATGGACTCGCGAAAGTTTCGCGAAAGAAGACGCGAAAGGATTACACTTTTTCGCTAAAGTTGGCCAAATCCCAGAAAGGGAATTTTGAACAACCGCCATATGCTAAACCAAACAAATTCAACAGTCACAATGTCCAGGCCGCAAAACCATGCATGGTACATAATGTCTCAGCAAATGCCGTAAGCTCTAGAACCGCACGATTCCATGCTCTTAAAGCCTAATCTCAATCAAACACAATAAAAATGGAAGCCCCTGAGTTCTGACAATAAGCCCTTCCCGTAGAACCAGTATCTTTGCAGTCAACAAACAGGGAAGCATTGACAGTTGCTATGTTCGGGTCAATAGCCTGACTATCCGCATCAGACACATCATTCAACTGACCTTTTGTTTGCTAGGAATGAATAGTTAGATCTTTGTAGCAGTCCTTATGAAACCCATTGTAGTAGTTTGTATTTTCATTTCCATGCATTCTAGACCCAAAACACTACACCCATGGAAGTAGTTTCCATTTTCTTTTTCCATTCCTTCATTCCCAGCTAACCAGAGCCAAGGGCTCTGTGCAGGTCGTTGGAGGTCCCCACCTTGCCCGGCAAGGAGGCCTTGAACCCACTGAAAGTCTTTGTTGACGCCTCAGCACGGTTTAGGGTTTAGGGTGGAAGGCTTACCTAGACTCTGTTTCCTTACCCTTGCTTTAGGGCGCCCAATTTTTTTTCACAAGGCTCTACATGCGGGCTCAGGTTTGGTTTGGATTTTGTAAGCGCGCCCTGGGTTTATGGGTCCGGGCGTGCAGAGATGTGCAGGTTCTGTGTCTTGTTCGAAGTGTACAGTAAGTTTAGCCTAGTCAAAGTTTCTGAGGGTCCGGACTCATGACCATCAAAGAGTGGTAGTTTTGACAGTACTTGGTAGTTTCCAAAAGGAGGGGTCCCCCGAAAACATCCCAAAAATGCAGCGATCTTCACAGGCATAAGGGGCCCTAACTTTGGTAAAGACCAAATTGTTTCGAAGCTTGTGATGCTTGAAGTTCTGGCTAGAAATGGGGGGCTTCCAAAAATAGACCTAAACCTCAACCCTAAACCTTGAACTCTGAACCCTGAGCCCGAAACCCTTAACTCTGAACGCCAAACCCCAAACCTCCTCCTTGCTGGAAACTACATACCAAATTGACCACAAGAGAAAATTCCCACCCTGCAGTACGTCCAAAACTCATGAGCTATAGTCTGAACCCCTTAAGGGGGGTTAGATGTGGGATTATATAAGCCGCTTATTTCAGGTTTAGGGTTTAGGGGCTTATATAAGGGATTTCTAGGATAGGAGTTTTTGAGGGGGATACTAGGAGTCTAGACTATAGCTCGCATGCTCTGCAAAATATCTACAATCCTCAGTCACTATCAGCACGATCCTATGTTCTAGGGTTTCAAGTGTTTAGGCTTTAGGGTTTTTGGGTTTCTGGTGTTTAGGGTTTAGGAGTGGGAATACAGTAGGAGTATTCTTACCAGGGTCCTTATGTTCCTGCTAGGTTCTTGGGGTTCACTGTTGGAGTCCCCATTGAAGTCCTCCCTAAACCCTAAACTCTACACCCTGACCCTATGTGTGTGCAAGCTTGCTTGCCAAGGACCGTGATGGGTTTGCAGACAAGCGCATGGAGGGGCTCAAGAGCAGCTTGCCTCAGAACTTGCTGTAGTTTAGGGTTTAGGGTTGGGCTAAAGAAGTAACAACATGATGATCCTTGACTCCTGGTATCTTTGTTCTGTAGTACACCTGAGACTTCACCATTACATTTGTAGTTGATTAGGTTGCGAAATTACTTCTGCGTAGTTGTCAGAGAGGAAATGCTGGGATTCTTGCGAGGCGATATAAAGAGATGCTTATTGGAATCCCCCATTCCCTGTTGTACATAAGTTAGGAGAAATACATCCTAGTCGTCCCCTTTGTGTCTCTCATCTCTTTCAGATTTGTCTTCACATTTTCCGAAGGGTTCCGAATGTTTTACGATGAAGGACCTTCCCCCAAGTAATATTGCGATCTGGCATGGGTGCTTACGAAAACTTAGCGTCACATTGTTGTATACCCCCAAGAAAATTTAGCGCCGCATTGTTGTATGCACCCAAGAAAACTTAGCGTCGCATGATTGTCTACCCCCAAACCTCCATACGATCAGCATTCGGGGCCCGATTGGCCAAATCTTTGAAGTCCGGAATTCAAATACCCAAAGAAGGTCTCCGAAACCTTAATTAAATTCTGAACCCAAATATGTTAACCCCCAAATCCTAAACCCTACATATACTAAACCCTGACTATCCTATTTCTATACACCCCAAACCCTATAAATCCTAAGCGCTAGAAATCCTACGTCTATATCCTCAACCTACACCCCATAAAGCCGATGTAAACCTTGGATGTTGTCCCACTCAGCAACAGTTGGTTAACATTGCCACTATATAATTCTACATAACACGGCATGTTACCCCTAATATAGAACATTACAGGGTGGGGGCAGGTAGACCCTAAACCCTAAACCCAATGATCGCAGGCTACTTATCGGGCCTCGCTGCGCAGGTGCAGACCATGGCGCAACTGGGGCAGATCTGGAAGTTTCGCAGAAGGTCACTGGATCTATAGTCTAAACTCCTTAAAGGGGGATTATGTAGCTGATTATTAGAGGGATTATGGGCTACTAGGAGTTTAGGCTTTAGTTCATATAGGATCCTGACAGTTTAGAGTTTACGGGGTCATTTTGGGCCCCCAATAAAGGGATTATGTAGAGGTAATGTAAGGGTAAGTGGGAAAGTACAATATGTGTCAGGGTTTAGGGCTAGTACCCCAAAGAGTGCACAATCAAATGGAAAAGAGCATCAAACATGAAATGGAGACGGGATTTTAGGAGGAGTTTGGGTTTAAGAGTATACCCGGACCTCGCAAGAACCCACAATCATAGCCTAAATGCCCATTTTCTGCGGGGGGGATCATTATGCGTTTCGGGAGGTTCAGGTAGTGCCCGGGCCCAAAAAGCCAAAGTGATTCTTGATAAGCCCTATCCATCGCAGATGTTGATCTCCCTCAAATGTTCCGTCTCAGGCCTTGTATATAAGTCCTGAGTGGTCTAATGCGGGGCTCTATAAAAAGAGTCCCTACCAAAGCCCCGAAGGATGTGAAAAATAGATCCACTTATAGAATGTGAGATTACCTATGGGTGATTATGTTTTCTGCTCTGTGGGAACACGTGTTCTTTGCACCTCCTGATTATGGTAATCCGTAGTAGGGATCCCAAAATCCGTTCACAATCCACTTGTCTAGCTAGGGTCGCTAAAGAACGCGCCTTCTTTTGCAGAAACATCCATCGTAACCGTTTCGAAGCTGAGTTTCCGCCCAGGGCCAATGTAGCTTCTAGAAAGAGCAAACATGATGTTTTCATTGCTTATTGTGCCCCACTTCTTGTAGACTGCTTGAATAAATTCCGAATACCTTGTTTTCTCCAAGGCCTAAACCAGAAGTCCATGAACCCTAAACTTTAAACCCAAAACCCACAGACCCTTAAAGTTAAAAGGCTTTTCAATTCCCAAGTCAGGCAAGATCAAGTGCTCGAGCAGCTCCTGGGCAGAGATGGGCCACATGAATGTTCAGGTTAGTGTGCTAATTCTCTCGGGTTTAGAGTTGAGAGTTTAGGGTTGAGGGTTTCTGGTTTAGGCTCAGGGCGTGGGCTTGGGTATCGTGATTGGGGTTCAGGGTCCAAAAACGTCTGCATGTCCTCCTTTGACAGATGGAAGAAGTCTTGCACCGCACAGGACCCCCATGCAGCTGTAATCCCTATAGTAATTATGGGTATTATAGGGCGGCGAGAGATTTCCCGTCCTAAGTGTGATCCCCCAGGTCCCGAACCCCTCAATCTAAAATCCTAAAGTCTAAGCCTCAAAGCATAAATCCTTACCTCCCCAGATCTCCACATCACCAATCCGAAGCCCAAACCTCAAAATGCACGACCTACACCTTAAACCCTCATCATCTTTTCCATTCCTCCATTCCGTGCAAGCTAACCATTTCGCCCTCAACCCTAAACCCTATTTGTGCGTACAAAGCCCCAGCTTCCATTTCCTTGTCCTCAGAAGCCACAATTCGTGCCCCAAGGCCAAAAAGAATCTTGTTCAAACTTGCAAGCCGGAACGAGTCTTCTTGATCTAATAAACAAATCCTACACCCTGAATCCTAAACCCTAAACCCTAAAAACCCTAAATCCTAAATCCTAAACCCTATAAACCCTAAAAACCCAAAACGCTAAATCCTAAACCCTAAACCCAAAAAAGCCTAGACCCAGGTTTCTTCAGGTCGACCTTAGCACCAGGGCGGAGCCAGGCTTTCGCAATGCTACCGACACTACGGGTGTTCAGGGTTTAGGGTTTAGGCTTTAGGGTTTAGGATTTAGGGTTTAGGATTTCGGGCTTAGGATTCAGGATTTAGGATTAAGACTGAAGGGTTTAGGATTTAGGGTGTAAGGTTTTGGGGCTTAGGATTCAGGATTAAAGGTTAAGGCTGAAGGCTTTAGGATTTAGGGTTTACGGTTTAGGATTTAGGGTTTAGTGATCCCCTGTTCAAGAGCAGTTACCACCATGGGTAATAGGAGTTATAATAGGCCCTTACTAAAGCCCCCTCAAGGAACAGGTGCTGGAAGGGCGAATGACCCCAGGTGTTTCTTGAGATAGGGAGTTTTGGGTTTGGGATTCAGGTTAAGGGATTATGGCTAAGGGTTCCGGGCTTTGGGCTCTGGGTTAAAGGGAAGAAGGGCCTAGGGCGCAGGGATAAACCTTCGGGTATATAGGCATCAAGAAGGGATTTTGCGGCAGCTCCAGCAGCAGCAGCAGCCTCCTTCTTGATTAGATACGCGTTACGTGGCGAAAGCCCGATGTTGCTGGCATTGTGCAGCGTCGGCGGTACGTGGTGGGCGTGTTTCATGGGTTGGGAGCGGGTAAAAGTGTTGATGTGCTTTGGGCTTCAGTGAAGCTAGTAGTGACGGACCCAAACCAAAGGCTACAGCTTCGCCGGCTGCAAAGCCACAAATCCTGATGTTGTAGGTGTTCGGTGCTTTTTATCTTGCCCAGATTCTGATGATTTGTGATTTGAATGTGCCCGGCATGCCCTCGTCAGGACTCCGAGCCATGCGGTCATTACACAAAACATTGGTGATCAGGATTGTTATTGAAGGCTCAACGTGGATACTAGAGTTACTAGAGCTTCCCTCATTTCGCTTTGGCATCTTCTTTGCAGCGGTGGATCTGGATGAGAAGGTAACAATTATTGGAATTTATGGCACGTGTTTAGACTTCAACTTTCAAATCTATGAACAGTCTTTGAGTTATACCGGAAGGCTGACAATGATCCTCAGGACAAAATATGAGCATATTCTCTACATGAGATAACATAGTCCCCAATAAGGGCTTGAGCGAAAGCTTTCTGTGTAGTCTCCCTGTGGTGTAGGTGCACAGCCATAGGGGGGAAATGCACGTGGACCATGGTGCAGCTTCTTGCTGCAGCTGTTCAGGCGGCATGCGCTGCAATGGCGTCAGGCAGGACTGTCTTGGTGGCAGCTGCGGTAGAGGCAACGGTGTTCCGACCTGTTGCTGCGACCGTTGTGGGCCGGCTTCGTCCCTTTTAGTTCCCTCAAGTGCTCCTCAGGGCCTTGGCGCCGTCAGTGATGAAAGGGCGGAACAGCTGCGAGCGACCAGCAGGGCCTGGACGGCTTCAGAAGCACGACCGGCAGAAGGGCACTAAAAGGCCTGTTCTCTCTCTGACGCTGACATGGTAGTTGTGGATGCTACCTTGATATCTAAGTCCGATCGCGACGCGCCAACTTTGACCAGAACAGATGTTCGAATGCTTCGGTGTGTTTCTATGAACGGAACCAATGCCGTGCAGATGTCTGTCACTGAGATAGGTCCTGTCATGTCGATTTCGCCGTTCACTGGTTGGGGAGGCCGGACAAGAACAAGACAGAACAAATCCCAAGATCAGCTTTCGGATCGTCGTTAGTTAAAAGGAACCTACCGACCCTTCTTTTGACCAGGCTTTACAAAAGCTCGTCCATGCACAGCGCCTGCAATTGTCAGGCGTCAGGACGCTCTGCCATGACTGACAGAAGTCCGTGAAGAATACCATCGTGACTACCATAGAGTAACACGGGGTTTTTGTTTTAGGTATAGCCTTTGAAAAGCAAGTTTGAATCTTTCATCCAAAAACGTACGTAGATGAAGATTTGCACCCCTCCAACACAGACCATGTTATCCTGAGCTGCTAGACCCCACACCTAAGCCCTAAATTGGGCTGCCGTTCAGGAACTTAAACTAGAGTTAACATGACATGGCTACATAGTAGTGATTGAGATATCCTTGCAGTGGTCATTTGGCTTTGAATTCCTCAACAGCACCCCAGAACAGAATCAATACTGCTCCCAGCTTTGCAGCAATCATACGCAGACCCTCATGGTATAGCATATTGTGAACAGAGTCTGGCTTGACTGTCGCGGGATGAAGGGGGTCCAATCTACCCTGGACAGTGACCTCCTCAGATGTTGTCTCTTTTGCTTGCGCAGGCGAAGAAGAGCCTGAACCCACCAGCACGGTCCCTGTCTCTATTTGTGTGATTCACTTGCTTGGGTATGCCTCCAGATTCAAGGTGGAGAATTTGCTCCTCGGGTTTTGTAATGCGCAGGGACTACATGGGCATGTGTCGGATTATGCAAATTGTCTCAAAAAGAAGCACGTTTTGGCGTTTGAGCAAGGACGGTTTTCGCACATGTGGCATGTAAGACTACGCTCTAAGCCCCAGATCCCAAACCAAAGCCATGCCGTGTCAGTGCGAGCGCCATTCTTCGGAAGTTCTCCTAGAGCAAGGTTGAAACCCATGAAACCATTACACTCCGTCAAGTTAACATGGAGCCTGAAACAATGCCCGTTCAAATGGATTGCAGTCTACCTAGGCCTCTTACCGAATTCAATGTGGTCGGTATACACGTAGCATCTAATTACATATGGCTGATACGAAAAAGTTGCATGACCCCAAAAACCCGACACTGTGAACAGTATGGTTCTCTAGCATGCTAATGTCGTGCGGTATTTTTTGGGCATCCGCGTCTTAAACAATTTGTACATGCAATCGTAGTTTCCGTTTCAGATTCCACTTTTGTTACGGTTGATTCCCCATTACTTACTGCTTGACCTTTCCGTCTTATTCGGGACTCCAGCCTTCCAGCTCGGCGTCTGGTGTTTACGGTGGTGAAGACGGGCCTGCAGTCCCGAGATGTGGGTCTAGAACGACGTACGGTTTCTTTCGTGCAGGGACCCCCGTTTAGACCCACACATACGATGATCCCTGTCATAGCGACTCCCAAAACGACACCCGTAAACCCCTCGTATGAAGTTAGGACAAGATTAGGATAGCGAGCTCGGTGCATGGTGTTGAAGGTTCAGGTTTGAGTTTTTTTCGGTCGTTGTCGAGCATGTTGCACCCCCCAGACCTACAACATCCGAAGGGCAACGTGCCATGGTTCGGAAAGGCTCACATATGAACAGCACTGCACAAGTGAGAGCATGGAAGCTAAAATGTTGCAACCGAGGCCGCAACCCTCGTCATTTTTCATTGGGGATCAGAGAATGGATCCCTGCAGCAGTTGACTTTAAACTCCAAGTTTTAGCGCCAATGTCCGTCCCGAAGCTCGCTTCCCCCACTCGCAGCTAAGCTTGCATATAGCTAGCCAGGTTGAGTTCAGCGAACGCTAACTATGGGGACTGCTTGAGTCCCTTCATTGATTGTGCCTCCTGGCTTTTGTTCAAGATTTGTTGTAAGGGCTTTTTTCTCCTTTTGAAGGACATATTGCCCCTTGACTGAAACAATCCGGCATTGCCCGATGTATTCAACAGATTCCTATGTACCTAATATCTAAGTGTTCTATCTTCTTCGGGGTGCTATATCCATGGGATTGGGTAATGTTGGTTGCTTTGGTGTGGTACATGGAAATGGTCCTGACGTTTGTTGCCAAGCGAGGTGACAAAGATCTTGGGATTTCTGGCTTCAATGTACATGAACAACCTTTCCAACAGTATCCTTATGTAAACTCACTTAGCTTTGCAGATCACGCGGGCATACAACAGTCTGGTGTCTTTTTTTCGTTGTGGGGAGGGGGCGAAGGAGGGTTGCTCTACTGTTCGACTTAGGTTTAAGGTTGAGGGCTTCGTGGGGAGATGATGAAGTTGCTCTGCACATGTCGCGATGGTGAGTGCTCAGGTATGCTTTGCCAAGATCCACCAGACCCATGCTCTTTCTGATCGAAAATGGGAGCTCTTTGGTTGTGTCTGTCATAGAATCACAACAAAGGAAAACAAATCAAGCATGCAAATCAGTGTTTGCATTTGTGACCACTCAACTTTAAGAATAATGCTATGTGCAGCAGTATTGAGACCGCATCAACAAGATCAGCACAATACGCATGGCTTGCGAACAAGGCCATTATCATTTGGCAATGATTCAGGCATAGCACGTTGGCAATTACGCGTGGGTACTCGTTGTCGCATGGCCGAATGTGAAACGATGGCATGTCGTCCATGCAGGGTTTAGGGTTTGGGGTTTAGGATCCGAGGGCCCACCTTGGTCATTGGCCTTACTTGCAGGAATAACTACATTTTTCGTGATGGGAAAGCGTGAAGAATGTTGTCAAATTGTGTTCCCTCAAGGCTTTTGTAGTCCCCATGAATTTTGCTAGGTACTCCTTGTTTGAGATGAGTTTGCTAGGAACTTGTACCAGTCTAGCGGGCTTTGCAATGTCAGCATGCCAGATTTGCCCAGATTTGGTAATCCCCGCCTTCTTCAGTCAACCCACCCGAGTAATGCAAGTAAGACTCACAGAGACGACAACAGTTCATCAACGAAGATTATTTGAAGCATGATAAGACTCTTGTAATCGCAAATTTGTGCGTGGACCTCCCACCAGCACACATAATATTTGCGCATGTGTTCAGTGCTTTTGGGTTAAAAGTTGGGTATTTGGGAGGTCCAGGTATTCCTTAGTGAAAGAGTCTGGGGTTTCTGGCTACGACCGGTAAAAACGAGAAGGAATGGCTGTCCTCGCCATTAGGGATCAGGGCTTTAGGGTGTGGAGTTTAGGATTTAGTGTAGGTTTATGTTTGTTTTCCATTGTGTTATGGAGAATCAAGCGAACGAGAAAATGGAACATGACATGGAAACTGGGGCGCTGTAGGGGGCTACATAAGGACCTTCGGGATTCTATTCAGTAGGTTTCTATTGTGGGGGAGTGTGAATAGGGTTCCTGAAGAATATTGGTGTATGTATTTACGGCTATAGGAGAATCCTATCATATATATATATGTATATACCAGGAAGTCAACCCCTTTCCCCAAACGCCAAATGCCAAGTATCAAAGATCTATACGGACAACACCGTATGGAAAGTCATGGTATAAGCGAATCAGTCTGTACCAGGATTTTGGTAACCCCAATACCCAAAAATATGACTCTATTATAGTCATATAGATAGTCACAGGATCCGAATTTGGGGGGTTGAGGCCTTAAACCCTAAATCCTAAACCCTAAAGCCTAGACCCTAGACCCTAAGCCCTAAATCCTAAACCTTAAACCCTCTTGTTCATCCAGGGATTTGTTCCTCGAAACAGGAACCCAGCTTGCAAATGAACCCAACATTACATACATGGGGTTTAGGGTTTAGGCTTATAGGGTTGAGGGTATAGGGTGATCGGAAGGTCTTTTGGGGAAATTCCTTCGGGATTCTGCAGGTCTGTACGGAAAAGTAATGGTTATTTTGAGCACAGGATTTTGGACTGGCTACCAAATAAGGGTAGTATAAAGAAGCGTGGTGATGTAGTTGTGTTCTGGGGAGCACATGAGGACATTGGAGGCTTGGCTGTAATTTCCAAATCTACTGGAATGTTTCCTCTGCTCTCTCACCAGACTCAGGCGCTAATGGTAGAATTATGCATGTGCTACGGGACTATAAGGGGATAGAACTCCTAATCATTCAGGGTTCCCCAGTAACCCTTTACCCTACGGGTCCAAGTACCTAATAATCATATACTTCCCTGATTATTGGGTACTTGGACCCTCTGGGTTAGTTCAACCCTAAACTTTCTCTTGTCCGCTGCAGACATCGGCTCCAAGAGGACGGCTGACGAATTTTTCGTGTAGGGAACCCCCTTGCATCAGAGATGCACAGGCGACAGCAGGCGAAGGCGCTAAATGCTTAGAGGGTCTTTCTGTGCATAGCGGCAAAGAAATTGGAAGCTGCCAAACTATACAGGGTTGTGGGATTCGCTGTGCATCTGGGAGAATAAAATGGAAGCTACTATGTTAGTAGCGAGGGTTTAGTTTTAGGGTTGGGTCCGGATCCAAAATTGGAGGCCTGTTTTGGTTTGGGGGCCTGTGAAATGTCAGTATTCCGGATTAAAGCGTTGGACGCTTGTCGCCGCCCGTTTCAGGGTTCTGCGCGGGGAGAACATGCGTGCCTGTGTATAGGATTTACGGGTTTGGGATAGTACGCTGGCTCATTTTGGGGCACTAGTGGTCGAAGATTCTGTTCAGTGTAGGGGTGCCTGAAAAATGCCCAATTTTGTGCGGGGGTCAGAGGTATGGTTTGGAATGGAGGTATGTATCAATACGCCTGACAGGGGGTGAAAGGTTTCGTTCATGGTGCTACTCGGTTTTGCCCCACTGTGATTGTTCACTTGTTGCCGTAATTCTGGTTTGCGTGTAATGCTGTCGTCGATGCTGAAAACCCTGAACGGTACAACCCTAAAACCAACAACTTCAAAACAACTTAGACCCTATTTGAATTTGGGTTTGGGCTTCTAAACCCTAAACCCCTCAACCCTAAACCCTGATGCGGGAGTTGTCCTTCCGGTCCTTGACAGGGGGAAGCCTTTGACTCCTTGCAAGATCTGTAGGCTTTTCTCCGGCTAGGTTTCGGGTTTAGGGTTTAGGACAGGTGTAATTCTCAAAATTATGGGCCCTTTTGGTTATGGATTCTATCACGGCACCTAATATTTAGGGATACCCAAAAGGGACATTAATTTTGGGAGCTACCCACATCATACGGTTTCTTTTTTTAACAGCTGTGTATTTTTACTGTTCAGTTAGTACATGTGCTAGGGACCTTCTTTTCTTGAACAGGCTGCCATAGCACACCTACTGACCTACTGGTCCTGCGAACGCTCGAGAGATATAGTTCAGCTTGTAGTATTGACTGTCACCAAGGAGTTGTGGGAACTCGAAGTGTGGAATGTTTCATTCCAATCCTGTATTGATTTTGGCACCCATCCCCCATTCCGATGGAAGTATTTGACCCCGGGCATCGGTACCCCAAGCCTCTAACACCCAAATCCTCTCTAGTTGCTATCTTTTGGATCAAGGTTATCAGCCCTATTTTCAGGACCCGTCATAATCTTGAGAGCCCTACATCCTAAATCCTGTAGGGTAGTTTGCATAGGTGGAGAGCCCCAAACATAGTCCGTTTTTTAGGGACCCCAAGGAAGGACCCTAAGCTTCAAGAACCATAAGCTCTGTCAACCACTGTTTGATCCCGTTTTCCATTACATTTTCCAGTTCTTTAGCATGTGATTCTCCATTCTGGGTAGTAAACCCTAAACCCAGAACCCTGAACATCCCAGCACATCCCTAAATACTGCCTATATACCACCTAGATATCCCTATGTAGCCTGCTAAAAAGCCTTCGCCATATTCGTCGATGCTACTCCCTAAGGGTCCAAGTACTTAATAATCAGATACTTACCCATACCCTGTACTACAATTACCATTACCAAAATCCAAGTACCTAGTTATTGGGTACTTGGACCCTAAACCCTAAACCGTATATACCCCTATAAGTTTTTATATATCCCTTTAAAGGGGACCTAGTTATTGGGTACTTGGACCCTTAGGGAATGGTGTTCGCCAGGCTGTCCTCGTTCTGCTCGTGGGGCTGGCGGTTACACTCTCGAGGCCGGCTCTTCAACCTAGTGGTGCTTAAGGTGGAGCGGGGGAGTGAATATAGGTAGGGTATCATTACAGGGGTATATGTGGCGATTGCATCTCCCCCACTCTCCCCTAAGCACCAGTAAATTCAAGGTCAGGGCCTCAGTCCTCTAGCAGCTTCGGTAGTGTCAGGAGCCCAATAGAGTAGGATAAGATCTGGGGCTATAAGGGTTGAGGGCTTCGGGCTTAGGGCGCAGGGGGCCAGAATAAGGTCTCGGGGTCTTGGGCGTTGCCTAAACCGCCGGTATTTCTTTGACAAATCATGTACAACATGGAGCAGTAGGAGGCGGCCTAAGAATGTTTGTCCGTTTCAGGCTCAGAGTCCAGGCTGTATGGTTCATCCTAAACCCCTAAGGCCTTTCAGTTTTCATCCAGAGGGATGAGTAGAAGTGAGCCTTTGTGAACTGTCTGGGCCAGGCTTTGATAATGTTATCCGGCAGTGCCAAACACTTAAACGTGCGGACCCGAACAGGTGATAGTTGTTTTTCTGTTCGGGGGAGGCGAGCTGGGGCCAGGGCCAGGGGCTGCAAAAAAAAGCCCGTATCATCCACATACCCCGGTACACCCCTGCATATTGACACGTGTGCGGAAAGATGTGACTGACTAGCTTGGCTCGAAACGACCATTCTTGAAAGGCTTCTTTGCGGTCTTGGAGTTTAGGGTTTAGGGACCTCGCAAGCTGGAATAGGAGTTCCACTGAGGGCAG